GGCCAAGCAATCCTAAACCATTGGAAATGCTTCCTAGATTCTGCCTGGAACCATTGTCTAGGCCCATGTGAATTACCAGAAATGGCTAGCCTGTCATTCTGTCAGACAAGTCTTGGGGAGTTGTGTCAAGTCCTGGGGACCTGCCCCAGGGAGAGAAGCAGATTTCTCTATTGTTTGTGTCATCACCTCATCTGGGAGCCAGTAATACCTGTGAAGTTCCAGTGAGATCATATCTAATAGGTGTAACCCTTTGAGAGCCTTGGAGCCTAACAGAAATGGGGGCCATCCCTCATCCTTTCTTCCTGAGCCCTAGTGCTGTGATCTCAGTGGGCAGTACCTGCCGATTTCCATTGTTGCTCCTAGGTGCTTGCATGTGGTCACCTGATTAGACTGGGAGCTCCTTGAGGGCAGGGTCTCTCTTTGCCTTTCTACCGTTTTTCTAGTAGTTGATTCATTCTTGCCGTATAGTAAATGCTTAACGAATAGTTGCTGCCATGCCCAGTCTGACCTTGCTGCCTCCTTCTCCAGGAGAATTTCATTTTTGTTACTTAGCTCCCAGTGTTCACAGGCTTGTCTTTCCTTCTCCCTTTGGGCCACTTTCTTCTAGCATCTAGAGCCTCCAGACCGAGGTCAGTATCCCCTCAGCCTCCTCAGGCCCTTTTTCTTCACAATGAAGTGCTCTTTTTAAAAATTTTTCCTTAAAGGAAGACTTCATATGACCTGGAGACACAGATGTGAAGTAGGAGCATTGGCCCACGGGAACAACTTCCACATTGCTGTCACTCCCTGCTACTGAACCTGCATTTTCATTTTTGTGGGGGTCCTAGGGACCAGAAACTCTTCCACAGAGGGAGGCAGAGCAGAATTTGTGCCATTTCCCACTGGAAATAAGCCTGGTCCACTCAGTCTAGAAGAGTTGACAATACAACCTGTCCTGCTCTGAGCACACTGGCTAGAGGAAGGGGATGCTATCAGGATGTTTCAAGGCCCTCTTTTTGCTTCTGATAATCATTTGAGATCAATTGAGCCCCAGTAAGGGCCAAAAACCTGAATTAATCTCTTTCTCTCTGAGTGAACTAAAAACACCCCTTCCTGTGTCAGCAAATTTCAGGACCAGGTGGAGCTCACCGACATTCTTCCTGTTCGTCATCACTGAGCCCAGGATGTCTGGGACCAGATACTCTCTTGATTAATGAGACTTTTCCTTCTTTTGTATCCTATAGACATATGTTATGTAGAGGAAACACATACCTGGATCTATAATTTTGATTGATACTTTGACATTCTTCTACTGTATTTACAATCTATGCAATTAAGTAACTTCCTTTTTTTATGCTATATGTTAAGAAACATATGGAGGTTATACCTTTTTTTGTAACAGACATCCTGAGTCTGATCACTCTAAACTGTATAAAACCTCTCTCATTTTGCTTACTCTCTGAGTCAGAATCACATTCTGGCTTCCATGTTAACACGATTCGCTAGCTAAAAGGGAATAAACTATACAATCACGTATCACCTAACTTGTTTGCCTTCTTTAACCAAACTTTCAGGTTAACACTTCCCAGCTTCAGTTCTCTGACTTAGTGATTCAGAATTCCAGGACAGGAGAAAGGGGGACAATCAGTGTGACTGGGGACCAGATGGAAAGACAGACCGGAGCTGGCCACAGGAGGAGAGCTGATCCTGGAGCAGAGACAGCAACTGGAGGAGAAAAGGCAGATTTACTGGGGCTACCAGCTATTGGGAATGCCTTTTAGCTAGTGAACTCCCATAAAAGAAGATCTCTTTTAGTCTAGGTCCCTCAGCATTCTTTTCCAGAACTGTGGGCGTAAGCAGGCAGGGTTCCTCCCTTCCACACCCACACATCTGGAGGGGATCCAGGAGGATTGTATTTAATCCCATGGGAGGTTTGGTCTAATTTGCTTTTTACTTAATTTTACGTACAATAAATTATGAGATCTTGACCTGTGAATGCTTGACATGTGGAATGCGACGTGAAGTGAATGGAGGAATTCACTGGGAGCAGTGTCTGAGTTAAATATAACTGAAAGTTTAATATTTTGAGCAACATTCCATCCATTTCATCCTGTAGATTAAATTCGCAGAGGTCCGTGAAGGGTTAATCCAAGGTGAGCATGATGTTGGGAGAAGCTGCGCATATGCTTGCAGCCGGCGTGCCCTCTGGTGGCCTCGGTGGGGTCCTGCAGCCTCTTGGAAAAGGGCTGTGACTCAAGCATTCGAATACCAGAGAGAAACTAATTAAGACCAGGCTGGTCGTTTAGGGATAGCATCACCTGGTAAGCAATATTGTACCCAGATGTTGTACCCAGCTGATTAAACTCTGGACATTTTTGTCATTCAGTCGTGTCCAACAATTCGTGACCCCATTTGGGGTTTTCTTGGCAAAGATACTGGAGAGAGTTGCCATTTCCTTCTCCAGCTCATTTTACAGATAAGGAAACTGAGGCAGACAAGGTGAAGTGACTTACCCAGGGTCACACAGCTAGTAAATGTGTTAAGCTGGATTTGAACTCAGTTCTTTTTGACTTTAGGCCCTGTGCTTTACCCACTTTGGCACCTAGCTGCCCAAGTTTTGAAGTAGGGGATGCAAATATTATCCTCCCATTTTATAGATGAAAAAAGTAAAACTCAGAGTCAGAGATGAGCAGTGACTTAGCAAGGTCATGTTGCTACTTCGTGTTAGAGCCTAGATTTGAGACCATGTCTCCTCATTCCAAATCCCATACTGTTATCAGTCTCACCCTACCTCTCATGCTGGTAAAAACCCCAACATGATCCTTGCCCTCCAAGGGATTTCAGTTTCCGTGAGAACATTACAGGCATACTGGCCTTCCTATTTGCTGTGCTCCCAGTGAACAGGAAAGACTCACCCAGTGGAGCTGGGGGGTGGGAGCAGGGGACTTGAGGTCCTCCAGGCTCCCTTCCTGCCTCCTGAGGACCCAGGGCCCAAACCTCTGCCTGCTGAGGTGGAGAATAGAGGCATACCCTCCTCTGCAAAGATCCCTTCAGACCCAAGCCATTCATTCTGGGCACAAGCTACTTCACTTCCCCCCTCCAGGCATTTTCACTGGCTGTGCCTCTCACCTGAAATTCCCTCCCTCCTCATCTCCCCCATCTTCTACATTCCCCCTTAATGCCAACGCCTTCCCTCTTCAACTGTCCTCAATTTATCCTGTATATTTCTCCTTTGTAAACAGTTGCTTGCATCTTGCCTCCCCATTAGACTGGGAGCTCCTTGAGGGCAGGGATTGTCTTTTGTCTTTCTTTGTATCCCCAGAAGTTAGTACAGTGTCTTGCACATAGTAGGTGCTTAATAAATACTTCTTGATGGACTGACTTAAGACATTATAGCTAAATTCTCCCTGTCCCTGGCCTTGCTGTATGTGGGTGGCTTCTTCTCCTCATTCACCCCCCTGACAAAGCACGAGTTGTGGTCTCTACCTCAGACCAGCTTGAGGGCAGCTGCTTCCCCCACAAACTCTCTTGCCCCTTTGGCCCCTGCTGGCTTCCAGAGGAACTCCAAGGCAGCCTCTGTTTCCTCAGCTCTGCTTACATTGCTTCATCTAACTCCCTCTCGTTTCTACTCCAAGGTGTCCCGGCCCCTACAGCCGGCGTTCTGGGATCCTCACCCTAAGTATTTCCCACCAAACTGACCTGGCAGTGCAGGGAATAATCTCTGGAGACACAATCTGTAAAGAGGAGCCATCTGGCTGGAAGCAAGAAATTGTCTTGGAACCACTTGGCCTCTGGACCCGGTGACAACAGGATCACAGGGAACACCAGTGCGGGACATCTCCCTGCCACCTCCTGGAGACAGCCACCAGCCTGCCAGGACAAGCACCCAAGTCCCCTGACCTAGGGGGGACCGAGAGGAGAGCAAAGGGTTCACCAGCTGGTGGCAAACCTCTGACTTGGAAGTCAACACTGCCCAGCTGTTCTCTGCTGGGAGGGTCCTCATATGCTTCTATCTGACCCTTGCTGCTACTGACTAATATTGTGTTCTTGGACAAAGCATTTAATTTCTCTGAACCTCGAGTTCCTTTTTTTTTTTGTGAAATAGAGATATCAATTATATGGGGTTGCTGCTGTGAAGGTCAGAATCCCTAGGCTCCTTCAAGGAAAGAAGGAAGAGGAAAGAAAGAAAGAAAGAAAGAAAGAAAGAAAGAAAGAAAGAAAGAAAGAAAGAAAGAAAGAAAGAAAGAAAGAAAGAAAGAAAGAAAGAAAGAAAGAAAGAAAGAAAGAAAGAAAGAAAGAAAGAAAGAAGAAAGAAAGAAGAAAGAAAGAAAGAGAAACAAACAAAGAAAGAAAGAAAGAAAGAGAAAGGAAGGAAGGAGGGAGGAAGAGAAGGAGGAAAGGAAGAAGAGAGGAAAGAAAGGAAGGAAATGAGCATTTATTAAGTGCCTACTACGTGCCAGGCACCACGCTAAGCACTTAATGAATATTATCTCACTTATGTTCACAGCAGCCCTTAGGAGCAGATGCTATTATTATTATTCCCATTTTGTGGATAGTGAGGCAGACAGCAGCTGAATGACTTGCCTGGGGGTTACATATCTAATAAGTATCTGAGGTTGGATTTGAACTCAGGTCAAGCCCTCTATACCCAGTACCTCCAGCTGTATACTCAGGTACGCCTTCCCCACCCTTGCTAGCTACATGACTCTGCTCAGGTCCTTTAACCTGGAGGCAGTAAAAGGAGTGCTGACTTTGGAATCAGGAGAGCTCTGGGCAAGTCTGAAGTTTTCTGAGCCTCAGTGTTCTCATCTGTGAAATAGGGAGGATGATGCTTGCTCCGCCTACTTAATACAGAGTGCAGAGGGATTCCCGAGGAGGCAGCTGGGAGGGGGCTTGGAAGGGGGGTAGTCAGGGCTCCCTTCACCCCTGAAAGATAATGTGGTTGGCACTTTGAAACTTTAGCTGCTCCAACCTTTGGTCCCAAGTTACCTGTCAGCTGGGTGGAGACTCCTGGGGCTGAACTTTGTGGACTCTGGGTACTTAGACGGTGAGCCCCAGCCCTGACCTCATCGTTCACTGCCAGCAGCGATGGTGACCACTCGTAGCCAGTCCCTGAGGATCCCCCGGCCCTCCTACAGCAAACTCCAGGAGATCTGGGGGGAGCCCTCAGAACACGAGGGGCTAGTCCCCAAAGGGCACCAGAAGGCCCCCAGATTCCAGAGGTCCCTGAGCTTCCGGCACCGCAGAGAGCAGCCACACTCCCGGTGCCTGGAAACCAGCTCTGGCCTCCCTGCAGGGCTGGACCCTCCTTCTCATGACATCGCCGCTGAGGGCCTGGGGGACACAGAGCAGCTGGTCCGAGGCAAACATCAGGGGAAACAGAGAATACAACAATACAAGAAGGTAAGCGCTGGGGGGCAGCAAGGAGAGAAGCGGGACTGGGAAGGGGCCCTTCTCTTCCGAGAGCCACCGCTCCCCCTCCTGGCAGAGGGCCATGAGACAGAGAGACCTACAGCTCTCAGTTTCCCGGGCCAGCAGCTGGCCGGTGTGCAAAACTGGAGCTTCTAATATCTACCTCACTGGGCTGCCCCACCCTTTCCTATCCTCCCAGCTACCCCATCCCGAATCCAGGAAAGTAAGCAGAGCCAGCTCATTCTCCCCATTTCGCAGATGAGAACACTGAGGCTGTGAGACAGGCCAGACATAGAAGATACTGTAAGTCTGTGAATGGGAGCCGATGTTGCTGTTATTTTAGTAGGAGTTTGGGGGGGTGGGCTTGGCTCCCCTAACCAATTCTCCGGTCCTCCGGGGCACTTCTCCCATCTTCCTCACTGCCTGGCCTAGCAGCTTTGCCTGTGGAAGGTTCATTCTCAACACGGTTTGAATGAATCACGACTGACACTTACCTGGCTTAAACTAACGTTTACAAAGTGCTTTTCACTTTAACCCTCACTCAGGCTGAGCATCCTGGGCTTCGGGAGGGGAAGTCTCCTAATCTACTTCCTTTGTTTGGCAAATGAGGAAATCAAAGCCCAGAGAGGTCAAAGGCCACGCAGGCATTCAGCAACACAGCTAGAATTTGCACCCAGGTCCCTGGGCTTCCAATTCAGGTGACTGTCACTTTACAGCTAGAAGGGACAAAGGATTAAAGGGGCTGAGGGACTCGCCCAACATCACCTAGCACAGCCAGGATAGGAACCGGGTCCTCTGACTCTGAAGGTTTCTGCTATATTGTGTAACAATCTTGCAAAGTAGTACAGGATTTCGTCAGGCCCATTTTGCAGATGAGGAAACTGATGCTTACTAGGTTGAATTGGAGGCAGATTTTTTCAGGGTAAGCACAGCACCTTGCTTTGGCTCCCTAGCACCACCTGGTGGCTCTAAGGGGAGGAACACCCGAGACCACTGTGCCACACCTGTTTTCCCCTTGGACACAATCCCTCTCCTCTGACTGCCCCCTACCTCTCTGTCCCCCAGCAGGTAGATTATGCCCTGAGAAGAACATGGGGGAACTTTGTGGCCAACCTCCCAGGGGTGACCCTCAGCCGCTCGACTTGCCCTCGTTCCCCACTGGACGCTACCAGCTGAAGAAGGTCAGATGTTGCTGGGAGGACACCTCTTCCCTGGGCTCCTCTGGGGCCCGTGATGACCTGCTCTTTGTTGAGACTGTCCCAGACTCCTCTCAACGGGCTGCTGCTGCAGCTTCTTCTAGCTTGTCGGCTCCGTTCTGTTTGTGGCATTTTATGTACAAAATTATAAACTATAGTTTACAGGCATTTCCCTTCCTCAGCATGAACATCGCTCTTCACGTGGCTCAGCCAGGTTCTCTGCAGATTTTCTAGGCTGTTTGCAGACCCCACATTCCCTCCTGGTCCTCCCTGCCTGCTGCTGACTTCCTTCCTGAGGCTCTGAAGTCAGAGGCCGCTATTCCCTCTGGGGCTCTTGGCTCTGAAGAAGAGGCCAGTCCTTGGCCCCGTCCCCCCATTACTCTTGACATCTCGCCCTTTCTACCATGAGAGAAGATATTCAGGGACTTGGAGACTGGAGGGTTGGTGAAGCCAAATTCCAGACTGAAACCCTCCCTGGACTCCAGGCCTCCTTCTGGGAGCTCTTTGCCGTCTGGTGTACAAGATGCTCCATCTTCTGACTTAGCGTTTTCCCTGGTTGCCCCCCATGCCCGGCGTGCTCTTCCTCCTCATCTCTGCCTGTCTTCCTGTAGACCCAGCTGAAATCCTGCCTTCTACAAGAAGCCTTTCCAGATCCCCTCAACTCTAAGGCCTTCCCTACCCCTCTTACCTCCAATTTACCAGGGACATAGCTCATTGTTGTCTGCATGCTGTCTCCCATATTAGATTGTGAGCTCTCAGGAGAGCAGACCTGGCTTTTGCCTGCCTTTGTCTTCCCAGTGCTTAGCACAGCGCCTGACACACAGTAGGCACTTAATTGCACAGGGAGTGACTGATTGGCTGAGTGGAAACCTGGCCTCTCTGATCCTCCCTAATTCTCTGTGTGTCAGCAAGGATCCAGCTCCTTGGCTGACCTAAGGGAGTGGCTGAGGTCCACCAGCATCTGGACCTATGACTGTCATCCACATAGACTCCTTTCCTGAGCATTCTGCAGGACTGATTACTCGGCAGGTCTGGAAGTGGGCTTCTAGCTTTGCCAGGAGGGGCAAGAGAGACAGAGGTGGTGAATTCCTGCTGTTTCCATGACCTCCCCTCCCCGATGCTGCCCCTCTCCTGGCCTGAAGAGCCCCAGGATAGCTGGAGGGTGGTCGGCCCCCTGCCCTTCCAGGAGACACGTTGCACCCTAGCCCATGCCCCTCCTAGCCCGGTGTCTGGTGGTGTTCACATTTACGATATGACATTTATTTAGTATCTTTAATAAAAACCAGATGCTATCTCAAAGGTGTCTTTCAGAGGCGCGCCAGTCTCCCCGTTTTTCCTCTGGCCTGTCTATCCTCCCATACCACAGGAGAGAGGGTGGGGACTGAAGGTGGGGGGCGGAGGAGATGTTCAGCATTTCTTCCACCAGAGGGCGCCTGTTGGCCAACACTAGAGCCATCCTTCCAAAGGTGTGGGTTTCGGAGATTTCGAGAATAAAGGCAGATATGAAAGGAGAGGGTGGGTGTGGCTCAAGATGGCTACCCAGGCTCTAGGAGCATGCGTCTTCATGCTTCCTTTCATAGAATCTGAATTCTAAAATGTCGGGGATGAAAAGGACTCAGAACATCTTCCAGTCAATCCCCAGAAGGGATTCCCAGGAAGGGATTCTGAAGCGTGGTGGTAGCAAGAGCTCCAGAATTGCAGGCAGAGAACCTGGGTTCAAACTGTGAAACGTAGGGCCCATATGGCCTGTGACCTTGAAAAATAATTATTTTGGAGCGGTGTGTGATTTTGGTAGTGCAGGCAACATCGGCTAGGGAGGCCCCTCCCACCAATGCAGTCTCCAGTGTCTGCTGTCTGAGAAGTGAGGCTGAGGTAGAGGGGTAGAAGAGCTGGTCTTGGCTCCCACCTCCACATCAGAGCCAGAGAAGCATGTAGAAGATGTCACTCTCAGAGAAGTGTCTCCAACAGCAGTAGTGTCTTGGTTCTGAATCAGGTGACTGTGAAGCCCGGAGCCATACCCTTGCCGTCCTCAGTGACGATTGCCTTGGGTTTCTGGCAGCCCTGGCTCTGGAGGGAGGCCAAAGATGTTCCATCAGGCGTCTCTTTTGAGCTCTCAGAATTTTCTCACTTCTCTTCCAACTCTGAAGGGGCTCATCCCATAGTGTCTAGCTAGTCTCGTGTCACTGAACCCCAAACATAGCTCTACTTCTTTTATATATATATATATATATATATTTCCAATTACATGTGAAACAATTTTTAACATTATTATTATTATTATTATTTGCTGAGGCAATTGGGGTTAAGTGACTTGCCCAGGGTCACACAGGTAGTAAGAGTCATGTATCCGAGGCTGGATTTGAACTCAGGTCCTCCTGACTCCAGGGCTGGTGCTTTATCCACTGCACCACCTAGCTGCTCCTTAACGTTATTATTATTATTTTTTAATTTTGAGTTCCAAATTCTCTCCTTCCCTCTCCTTGAGAAGGCAAGCCATTTGGTATAGATTATACATGGATTCACCTCCTTCCCAAATGATCCCACTTGAGACTTGTAAAAACACAGGAAGGTAGGCATTTTTGTACCCATTTTACAGATGATGAAATTGAGGGAGACAGGTTAATGTGACTTATCCCTACTCACACAGCTAGTCAGGAGATGGAGTGTTTTGTTTGAGGACCAGCAGGGAGACCCCACTGGGTCTGAGGCCAGGAGCCCAGGGAGGATTTTGTCCAGGAATCTGGCCTTGCCAACCCTCTAATCCCTAGGTTTTCCTGTCCAAGGGCCTTTCTGCTGCACAGCGATTTTTCACAAATTTCCTATCAAACATGATGAATGTCAGAATCAAGATGTAAGGCTTTCAAATATTCAGAACTAAAAATTCTGCCTAAAGATGTGAGCCTAGAGATTATGTAATACAAACGCCTGTTAATTAAAGAGGAAAAAAATGGACCAAACCTGTGATACATCTGTAGAGGAAGCTTCCAGGGAGGAAATTCCCTTCATGGAGGCAGACTGGCACTTGCTTTACAACCAATGACCTAAAGGGCTTGCCTGGGGCCCTGAGAGTCTGGAACCACACTGCCAGTCTCTGAAGCAGGATCTGAATTCAGGTCTTCCTGACTCCAAGTAAGTGTCACCCTCACTCCAGTGTCCCGCCTCGTTGTCTAAGGTCTGCCCTTCCTGAGCCACATTCTAGCCATGGATGGGTTCAGTTAAGATGTGCCACCAACTCTTGGTGACATCAATTGACTCAAATGTACCTCCTCACCTAGTTTGCCGGTCTCTGAACATCTGAAGCCATGGGTTTTATTACCAGCCCATTTCCTGGAATCTGACTGCTGAGGATTCCTGGGCATTTCCCTGTTAGAATAGAAATATCAGCAACTTCAATTCTAGGTCGTTCAAAATTCACTCTTTTAGTTTTAAATCTTAGCAAGTCTTTACAATAAGGAGGAAAGGTGAGAAGGACTCTCATTAATGTATGTTACTCCTAACACCTTCTTCTGAGATGCCTCATCTTGGCACAAGAGTGACCTTGGCTCTCGCAGGCTCTACCAACAGAAGGTGAGCTCCGGTATGTTCTGGGCAGGGCTGAACATGGCCTGCAGGCACTCCCGATGTCCTTGGCCAGTGGGTGGATGCATTCTTCCACATACAGCTAATTGGGTTCCTTCTGGGTAACGAGCTGCTGCCTGTTCGGGCCTCCTCTGAGCCTCTGCAGTCCCCTTTGGGTGGCCATCCATTTTCATTCTTCTGTGCCCATGGCACCCCATGACTCACAGCCACTGAAGCAGTGGCAGCAGAATGCTGGCATTCACAAGATGGACCTTTGTTCCAAGGAGAAGTTTGGGGTCACTTAAAGCATTGTGCCCTTTGTTCCTCAAAGGTCCTCTAGCTGCTTCCCCTCTTCATCGTCTTTTCCGGAGCCAGCTCGTTCTCTATGCCCAATACTGCATGGAGAAGGTAGGAGAAAGCCGCCCCCTCCGGGCTGCATTACCAGAAAAGGAGTGGGCCAGGTGGAATTGCCAGAAGGAAGGATGGTGGTGATCCAGAGTGCCCACCTACTGTCAATAGATCTAGGGAGGAGCCTTCAGCAAGTGGGGTGAGGACTGAAGAGAGAATACAGATACCAAACCAACAGGGGGAACTTCCCCGTGTATGAAATGCTAGACCTCTCTGAGGAGCAACATACCTTACCTTGCATTAGGAAAAAAAATCACAACCAAAAAACAAGACCCCCAACTCGGTAACATTGTAGAGATGGCAGAAACAGTTGATGTACTGTCTGGTTTTGCTAAACTGGTTTTTTCCTTGTTTCTTTTAAAATTATTATTCTAAAGGAAATTCTGGTGGGAAAAGGAAGGGGGAGGGCTAAATTCAGAAAGGAATGTGATATAAAATCAAAAGGCATTGATTTAAAAACAAGGCTCATGAATAGCGCTCATTTCTTTAACTTTACGGGGGGGGGAAGATGATCATTGCTGTTTCTTCCTTTGTGTGTCTAGACCATGATTGTCCTATATATACTTATGTTTATACCGTGCCTCTTCTTGCCCTGCGTCAATATAACATACAAAATACACACATATATGTATGTATACGTAGTTTTATAGACTAAGAGCTAGAAGGGCATATAGCATAACCCCCTCATTTTGGTAGATGAGGAAACTGAAGCCCGTGCAGGTTAAATGATTTGCCCAAGGTCACACAGAAATAGGAAATGGCAGAGTCGGGATTTGAACTCGGGTCCTAAGACTCTAGATCCAGTGCCCTTTCCATTGTGTAGCACATTATCTTGTGCATTACATGCGTATTTCCATACATGTGACATATATAGCAACACACACTTAGAAAGCAAAGCATGCATACTTCTGCACGCTTGTGTATTACGCCTCAGGAAGAGGTCTTTGTTACAGTTTTTAGCAAATGAGCATGAGAAAAAACTGTTAATTCATGAAGTCCTTTAGTTTTCACAGGCCCTGCACATAAGGCCTGCCAACACCAGTGGGGGCTTATTGGCTTCTTGTCAGTGGGCCAGCTGGCTAAGGGGGGAAAGGCTCATTACCAGGGACCTGGCAGAATGATACATTGTCTTTTTTGGCCATAGCTACTCATGAAATTGTCTCCTCAGTCCTTTTTTAGTGGGTGAGGATGAAAGCACAGAGGTGAAATCATGGCTTCTGAAAGTATTGAGGGATTCCTAGAGCCGCCATTAGTTCTTACACCCAAGGCAAATGGCATGAAGTGGGCCCTCAGTTGGTGGGGATGGGGAAGAGAATGTTGGGAGTCAGTGGGGCTGGCCTGGGAACATGGCGGAGGAGAATTCAACCTGGCCCCACATCTGGGAACCTCTGATTTTGATTTGATTTCTACTCAATGCTGAGCTCTGTTGTTTCTACACCCCTAAAGGCGATGTGAGGATTGTTCTATCCTAGCTGTAGAATTGCTTGTTTTCCAAAAGAGGATCCCATTAAGTCAGTGATTGGGGATTGAGATGTTATTCTTTGCTAAAATCCCATTTAGGCCCCTCCTCAAGTAGGGAGCCACATCTGGGTTCTTAAAGGCAGTGCCAGTGGAAGGGGGCAGTGAAGAAGATTCAGGAGCCAGCCCAGTGACAGATGTGGGCTCTCGAGTCTGATGACCACCACCCTGGCTAGTTCTGAGCCCCTCATTTCCGGGTTCTCCATCAGGAGATGAAGATTTTTTATCATGAAGACTCGGGAGGAGGCTGGGAGGGATGCTGAGCAGGGTTGGTGGAAGAATCCCAGATTGTTAGGGTGCAGCACCCCTCCCTCTGGGGGCACAGGATGTCATTATGCTCCACTAGGAGCTTTGGCATCCCTGCCAGGCTCATGCACTTCCTGGCCTGGGCCTCTTTGATACTTAGCAAGGTGCTCTCACCTTCCTGGCGTATGAAGCAGGGCCACGGGAGAGGGAGCAAAGGATGAGTGGGTTGCCCTCCCTGGAGGGCAGAACATCCTGCCTCCGCTTCTACACCCCCTCCTCCCCAACATTCCTGGGTCGTTCCAACCCCAGGGAACTGAGCAGCTACTTTGCACCTTGTGCTGTGAACTTCTTAAGTAACTTTGTGTCTCTTACCTCACCTAATCCTCCTAACACTCTGCGAAGTCAGCAGTTCCAAGTGTTGGTACCAGCTCCCTTTCACAGATGCGGGATTCTACGCCAGGAGGGTCGCTGGCACCCCAACCCCCACGGGAGCCCTAAAAGG